CAGCACTGCTGACTTAGAGGCGGAGAAGAGGGCAGAGTCCCAGATTTCCTTAAAAATAATATGGTCACCTTTATCTATAGTTTGAGCTGGCTAAGTCATTTTTATTCTTCCCAGGCAAGCACTGACATTTCTATCATCTTGTCATAAGGTTCTAAATCAGGCTGTTTAAAAATAGCTTTTTGCGTTTGCTTTTGCTAATGCACATTTTATGCCTAAGGAATATTTTGAAGAAATTCATTGAGGGGTTGGCCAGCCCACCCTTTCAGGTGAGGTCCAAAAACTAAATATGTGTTTAGAGACATCCAGGAGATCATAGAGGAAGGCCAGAGTTGATATTCTTGATATGCAAAAGGTAAAACATGAAACAGAATGAGAGCCTGGAACAGAGACAGAGACAGTTTTTGGACTTAAAAAGAAAAGACAACAGCAAAGTCACCAGTTCCTATTTAAAAAAAATAGTCAGCTTACACTACAGTTAGGACACCAAATATTTATTTACACAAATATAAATTAGCTTTTACACTCCCCCTCAAAGATCAATTCTCTTTTAGAAAATACCAAGATTAAAGTTTTAAACACCATTAAAACAGTTCCTACAATAAACACAGTTAAAAAAGGAAATTTCAAAATAAATCAACTATAGCACTCCATCTGCTTCTAAAATCCTGTTTGTAAGCCGTGCCCATTCTAATGCACTTAGAGTAGTGGGTTGACACTATCAAACCCTTCTGCTTCTGTACTGAAGAAATACCAGCTTGGCACAGGAAAGAGACATGTTCAAAAGAAAACAGTTGTCACAGTTTCAGGTGTCATTTACCCATAAAAGGGGTAGCCCTTCAAATATATCAATAGCTGTAGCTCCACAGATGTCATTAGTGTCACAGATGTCATTAAACTGTGTAATCAGTTTAAGCTGGAGATATGTGGATGTACATCTCATTAAAAGGTTTACTGCAATTCTGGCTAGTCAGTACTACATTCCAACAGTTGTGAATGGACGTGTTTTGTACCCATCTAATGTTCATAATACCAGATGCATCTTTGCTTCTGAATAAAGCCAAATCTCAGCATTCTTGGAGCACCACGGTTCTACTCACACATGTACGATCATGCCTCCACTTATTTTTCAGGAGGTTGTTAATTGTTAATGGCCCGATCCTACAAGCTGCTCAGTACCTCCTGGGCAACAGGAGCACATCAGTTCCTGTTTACAGATGTTTGATTCTTTACAGGACTGGGAGATAGACTAGAACCTATTTGGAGTTGGGTGGTTTGATGTGGTAGCTCACTCTACCAAAAAAGACTGTCCTTGAAGTGTTATTGTCCTCTGACCAGTCCATAGGAAAATGTCCTGCACAAAGATGACAGGTCTGTATTTTCCAGTGACCTGAATTGGAAAATTTTCCAGTGGCCTAGAATTGGAAAATTTTAGACATGTTTAGACGTATCCTATTTGTGGTAGCCTCCAGGGACACTGGACAGTACAGCTAGAATTTGTGGTACTTAAGGCTGTTTGTAGACATGCTTAGCATTTTGTAAACCATGCTGATGTGCACCACACTGTTTGAATCAAATTTCAAGTCAAATCAAGGATTAATAGATGATCAGCCTGACCTCTATCCCGGGGAAGGTCTTAGAAAAAATTATCAAAAAGGCCATTCTTAACAGACTGGCAGATGGCAACATCCTGGAGGGACAGCCAGCATGGGTTTGTTGCGGGTAGATCTTGCTTGACCAATCTCATATCCTTTTACAACCAGGTGACCTATCACCTGGACAAGGAAGAAGAGATTGATGTCATATATCTTGACTTTAAAAAAGCCTTCGATCTAGTATCCCATGATCACCTCTTAGCAAAATGCTGGCTTGTATCAATAGATGCTACTCAAGCAAATCCCGGGACATCATTCTCCCATTGTACTCGGCCTTGGTGAGGCCGCAGCTAGAGTACTGTTCCAGTTTTGAGCTCCACAATTCAAAAAGGATGTGGAGAAACTTGAGGATGCAGAGGAGAGCCACACGCAGGATCAAAGGTCAGGAAAACAGACCTTATGATGACAGGCTGAGAGCTATGGGTCTCTTCAGCCTGGAAAAGCGCAGCCTCAGGGGTGATCTGGTGGCTACCTATAAGTTTATCGGGGTGGTTACCAGGATCTGGGGGAACGTCTGTTCACCAGAGCACCCCAAGGGATGACAAGGTCGAACAGTCACAAACTCCCCCGTGACCGTTTCAGGCTGGACATAAGGAAGAACTTCTTTACTTTCTGAGCCCCCAAGGTTTGGAATAGACTGCCTCCAGAGGCGGTTCAAGCACCTACTTTGAACACCTTCAAGAGACAGTTGGATGTTTATCTTGCTGGGATCCTATGGCCATAGCTGACTTCCTGCCCTCTGGGTGGGGGGCTGGACTCGATCTTCTGAGGTCCCTTCCAGCCCTAATGTCTATGAAATCATTGATCTTCACAGCAGGAGGCACTGGCTATACAGTACACAGTCCATACATTTGTCAGCCCCTTAACAGAGGTTGGATGTAATTAGGAAATGATAATAAACCTGTAATCACGGCTACATTGTTCCAGTTATCTGAAGTGCTGCTCCAGAACCTGTAATTGACTAGATACTTAAAGCAAGGTATTGTTGACACATTCAAATTTATACAGTTGTTACTTTGTGCCTGATAGCTTCTGCTGCATTGCAAAAGCCCAATTGAGTTTCCCTTGCCAAGCATTGCAATATCAATCTGATCTGGGTTCCTAAGGACTGTTTTTCCTAAAAGCAGTGCCATATATACATATTAATTAATACAGTTTAATACATGCCCTAGTCTGTATTAACTTTAACCTTCATTCAGTGAGGATCTGTTGATTCAGACTGGAGCCAATTTTATTTTGGACTACAGATGTCCATGTGTATATAGTGACAGGTGTAGTCTGGATTAAACCTAGAAAAATGTAATGTCTATAAATGGCTTAAAAGGCCAGCATATTGCCCTTTGCTAATGTACTACAACATAGCTTTCTTTGATCAACTCGTTTTGCCTTTGAAAGGAGTTAGCAATTCCTAGGAACCACAGTTCAGGGGGAGCTTTTTTCATGGCATCACAGTGACAGTGACTGCCTAAAGTGATAAAGATAATATTAGATGCCAATCACTTAACATGTTCTAATGAATTTCAGTTCCATAGAAGTGGGTGTATAGCAAGCAAAGAAAGCTTTGCAGAGAAGAACTTTGTTTTGTTTTAATTGCCAAAGGCAAGACAGGACAGCACTTAAAAGTTCCTAAGGGGATACTCTTTCCTGCCTTCTGCTTGAATTCAGACTCACATGGCTAACTACCTCTTCTTATTTCCAAAGGAAATTAATAGCCCAGGTCTTCAATTCTAAAAGGTACAATAAAGTATATGTTGTATTTAGTTGACTATGCTAAGTGCTACCTAAAGTGCTCTGCAAACAATAAGTGCTAAGTGATGGAAAACTAATTTGACAAAGAACAGATGGTTAAAGGCCAGCCTTTCCAAGCTAGGCATGTGACTCTATTGACATTGCTTGCCTTACATTTACAAATGTGAAATGCATAAACAGAGATGGATCAGACAGTCTGCTTGTACAATTATGTAAATCACTTAGGTACAGATTCTTATTTCAACCAAAACTTAATTTATTATGTACTGAACAACTCAACCTTTTACTTATTAAGCCTCCAAGTCTCTATCTTGTCTCAAAACATGTTATTCAGTTACATTATATATTACTACATTAACATACTAATTTATTCCTGACAGTCCAGAATTAAATACGTTAAATGTAAAAGCAGGTTTTAAAATCCAGCTTTTAAAATAAAGACCTAAAGAATGTGCCTTTCTTCTTCTTGATTCATTCCAACAAAGGAAGGTCTTCCTGGTGCTCCCCTCTGGAACAGAGCTGCATTGCTTACCCACTTTTCCATGCCAGTGTACCTAGTCTAATAGGCAGGATACAATTCTCCATTAACACTGGTGTAAGTAAGAAGCAAATCCGGTAAAAAGAATGGACTCATATTAGGATCTGACTGCAAGGGAAGAAAACACCTCCTCAGTATTTGTAATTTCAGAATTCATTCCATTAATAGGAGGTTAGGCTCACAAGGTTTTGTATCCTGTCCAGCAAAACACATGATCATGGTCTGAACATGAACATCAGAAGGCTGACTGAAGTCTTCAATGGATTTGGGCCCAAGTGCTCTGCATATTACAGGATCATGTCTATAGAGTCAAGTGATCGATTTTTCTGTTGCTGCAAGGAAGCAAGGATAACCTGGCACTTCCAGTGTTCCCCAGTTGGTTCAACCATCAACCAATTTGAATTACAACTAGAAACCTAGATCAATATTATTCTGATTCCTAACACCCTAGAAAGTCCAACAATACAAATATTTGTTTACTGTTTCACCAGGGTTGACAACAAGTACTAATACCAACATCAGGTCTAATTTAGAATCAAAATTTACTTTGACAAAAGTGACATGCTATTTTTGCTCTGTGTCCTAAGGATGAATTTCTTTTTAGTACAGTAACTTAGAAGTTAGGGGGCTTGTATACACATACAATTAATGTACAGTTGCTCCAGAGTTTATTGCTCCCAGGCATGCCGTCTGAACACGTGCCCAGGACTGCAGCACACTGAGCCAGGTCAGAGCAGCGCTAGCTGGCAGGGCAGTCCTGGGGATCAGCCTGCCAGCCCAGGGCTGCTTCCCCTGGCTTAATGTGTTATGAAGGGGCTGGCTGGGACATGAGGGTGCTTCAGTGCAGAACTATCCGGCAGGCAGCCCCCCTGCAACAAAGTACCATCATGCCTCAGTCAGCTGGGGCAGCATCTACAGGCGTGCTACCATGCAGTAAAAACCTCTAACAGGTTAGTACTTGTAAATACAAGTACTATTCTGCTGCAGAGTTAGTTAATTTACTCCAGCCAAATAGGGGCACACATGTAGATGTGTGACATTTACTGTGCAGCAAATTCATCTATTGCACAGTAGACATGCCTGCTGTGTAGTATGTTCTTCTAACTTAAAAATAAAACCTGTTATGACATCCTGTTCATTAATGCCACAGACAAAGCATTTGAATTCCAACAGCAACATCCTAGCTTAAAATTTCAAATGTTAACACTTTTAAGTAGTATTTCCCTTCAGGTCTCCCTACACAAATGGAATGCTTAGAAGCCAAAGTTCTCTGGCACTCAGAGCATTAAAAATACATTGCAATTTTTCCTGAAAAAAACTGTACTACCCAAAGAAATCAAGGCACATCTTTAAAAGCTAAAATGGGGTGGAGGATTTTTATAACTGGGAGTTAAGTTACCATTTATTCTTGATCTTTCACAGGATTAGCTGGATCAGTTTAAAATTGGTAGCGACTTAGACAAAGGCCTGAAACATAATACAAAGTTCTGGCAGTACAGCTTTGTTGGCTAAGGATGTGTAAAGATCACACCTCAACACCAGCACAGTTCTGCCAATGGAAGGCAGTTTCTGCCAACTCTGCTTCTACTATTTTAGGATGGGCAACTCTGGTGACAGAAAAGCTTCCTCTGCTAACAGAACTGCATTGAGTCCGGGTGGCCTGACTGCTTTAGCAGCACCCTTGTGGCTATAAACAGCAGCAGCTCCTCAAACCAGACTAAGCTTAAAACTCTTGACAAGGGGTAGATCCAGAGGGAGTGCAGAAGCTTTTAGCTGTCAGCAGTCAATGTGCTCAAAGCAGGTTATAGGAGTGGAACCTACACTTGACTGTTCTTCTGACTTCCAAATACTTGCAACCAAGCTGACCAGTAGGCTAGGTCTTGCAGACTTTAATTAGTTTCAGTGATTCATCATAGCAGGGATTTCAGTCATGTCTGTCTATGGGGCCTTCATGTTTTTCAAATCAATACTATGCAGGTATGCACTATCCAGTAAAAGCTATTTTTATTCCTTGTGGTTTCTTCACTGTAAAAGTGACACAAGACTGGCCAGGACCTGATTATAATTTTTTTAAAAATACAGAAAGTATATTATTACTTCAGAGCAAAAATTGGCTATAAAAATAAAAAAACCCAAAAGAGTAACTGACTTGGATCTGCATGAAATGCAATCATGCTGCATTGTTAAATATATGAAATAGTTCCATTTTTATACACCTGTATTGTAGTGTTCAGCATTATAAAAGTTGGGGCTATTAAGAAGCCCAAGCTGCCAGCTGCTTCATACCATCATCATCTTCCACTCTCTTCCTGGAGGATGCTACAGTGAGAAATTAGCAAATCAGTGACTAATGCAATAGTCAGAACAATTTTCTTCACCCACATCATGCTCTTTGTAATGCTTTCTAGTCTCAGTGCATCTCAGAACAATTTACTGAGTAGCAAGCTAAATATAGGCAGCACAGTGAAACAGATTAAGTGTATAGTCATTATGCTCACCTGCTAGCTCATATTCAATCTGTAACATTATGGGCTGAACTCATCTCATAATGAGTAACTGCTAAAAGCTGTTATTAAATGGGAAAAATATACCATCACTCCAAAAAGTGATGTGTTCTCTCAACTCCACCTGGATAATCAGAAGAGACACGTGCTGGGTAACACTTACCAACAAATATCTAGTCACTGGTGTTTGTGCCTGAAAGCTTGTAAGAAACATTTTTCCCAACTATTTCATTAGTCTAATAAAAGACATCACACATTTACCCAGAGAATCTTGTCTGCCTATGTCCTTAGAACAACACAACTATAACCAACACCCCCAGTCACAAAATAGTATGCCAGTGCTTGTGCATAGGCCAGATTTCAGACTCTTGAATTCACCAATGCAAATTAACCTGAAAAGCCAAAATAACTGCCTAGATAGGGGGCTGCCCAGGTTTTATTAATACAGGTTTTAATTAAAATAGTGCAGCTTAGGTGAGCAGATGACCAGTCATAGTGTAATCTTTTCACTCTTTCCCCCCACAAGAGGTTTAAGAGCTGATCAGGTAAGAGAGATACTGGATGGGAAACTAGAGAATTAGCATTTAAACTGCACAAGGATAGTAGATGTGTCACATCAGCCCCTTGGCCAGCACAGTACACCAACAACTTGTTCTTTGCTTGTGCTGTCCAGTTTTGGTGCACAGTGGCTCCCTCAGGAGGCAGAATAGAAGCAAAGAGGACGTAAGTGGCTACAAGTTAATTGTCCGCAGCATCTCTTAAAGGGTGTCGAGTAGCAGCCTGGAAAAAGAAAGGATAAATGCCGGAGGATTGGCTACTGACTACAGAATAGACTTTTCAAGGAGTAAGTGTGGAACAACAGGAAAAAACTATAAACACTTTTCCAAATTCTATTTCCTTTTGCCTCCTTTACTGGTAAACAAAATAACTTTACCAATTTTCAAAATTGATGTAATAACATGCAGCAGCTTTGCGACTCCAGCATTCTAAAACTGGGTCAATTTCCTATTGACAAAAGAGACTATTTTGTGGTTAAAAAAGATAAAAATAATTTCAAAATTCTTGGTCATTAGTACCAGAATAATTCAATGAAATCCCCTCTCTCCCAAGTGTCAACTTCTGTGCTAGTGTAAATGCCAATAGTGCTGCATCCATTTACACTTGCATAGAATGAGGTCCTGAATAGTTCCATGAAGCAAAACAAAAAGCCTTCACTGCTTCCTGTGATGAACAGGCTCAAAGATGGAGTAAGAAGTGTACAGTACATTAAATGTTAAAGCTGAGTTAATTATATCATACGAGCTATTTCCCTCTTCTAATTCACAGTATAGCTTAATCATGGGCAACTAAAAACAAGCAATTTACCAGGGCGAGAAGGCAGCAATGTAGATGGGACACTTGGCAATCTGACATTAGACATTTTATCATTAAGGTCTTCTTGCTCCAGCTCTTCCAACTCTGCCATCAACTCATCCTTAAGACAAACAAAACCATTATATTAACAGAACTATAATTTCACAAATAAAGGATTATTTAACAATAACCATTAATCAAAGAACCACTAAAGTAACAGTTCTAATTTAAAAAATCAGCCTGGGAACATACATCGGTTACAGAACCACTACAAGCTTTACTTGTTGGCTATCATAAAAACTAATTAAGATTTACCAAGTTACACTTCCCATTAAAAAGCAAGACAAGCGATTCTAACTAAATGGGAATTTATTGTAAACAAACAAACACATCCTCCTTGAAAGTTAAACATGAAGGCAAAGAAAGTTACAATTTTACTGTGGCTAAAAGAGTTCAATTGTCAAAACTGGAATCAATGTATGTCTCTGCTACCACTCTAAAAATGGACCTGGCTCCAGAAGGAAACTGTGTTAATGGATGTTGTCATTGGATGAAAAATACTGAAGCCCTGCCTGACTAAGCACCGGATTTGGTGCAGATCCAAAGTAATATTAGAGTCCCAGTTGTCCTGCTGGGTCCTGTTAGTCAATACTGAGGCATATTACATGTTTAGTTTTTTACCTGCAGAAAAACTGATTTGGACAGATGATCAAATATGTATTTGTAATACCACAGAAAAGTTATGCATTCTTGGAGCAGACATTGTAACCATTTATGCTGGCCTTCTTGATAGTCCTCCTGAAGTAAAATTTCTGTAGTAAATCTGTAACTTCTTTTCTGAGCTGAAACGGACTTCTCAGAACAATATTCAAGCTTGAGTTAAATGTTTAAATAAAATGTCTCTTTAGAAAAGGGATCAATGTTAAAAAACAACAGTGGGTTTTATTCCCCACTAAGTACCCAAAAGATTTCCTCAGGCACAAAAACATTTAGTATCCAAGACAGCTAGGACCTAGGCAGAAGTTTAACACAGCAAATGAAGAAGTATATTTAGGGACTTATTGAAACTATCATCCTTAGGATCAAGGCATTTTACATTTGTTCTTATCCTGAGGAAAAGATTAATTTGGGGGTATGGGGTTGTGGTTTACCGGAGTTATTTTTGTTTTGTTGTTTAAAAAACCACCATAGAGGGCAGTTAAAAACTGGTTCTTAATGTTCAGGCATTCGAAAATCTGATTATAATTTGCAGAACAATTCAAACCTGCCAAAAAGACTAACCCTGATCCCAGAATGGGCTCAATGTTTTGTTTGGTTTCTTTCATGATTTCAATAGCTATTAAAATTGCTCAACATTTAATGGGATCTTTAAATCTATGGGGATCAACAGCTCTTATTTTAAAATAAAAAAGGACAAGGAGTGCACCGCTAGAGATTTTGGGGGCCGATACCAACAGCCAATTTTTAAGGCGGCTATTGGCTGATACCAGTCCGATTTCCAATACCAGCCTGGCAGCTTGGAGAGCAGCGTACGGCTAGTAAGTCTGGTGTGCTGGAAGGGGAGGAGGAAGGGAAGAGGCATGGGGGCGTAAATCAAGGCCCACCATGGTGATGGAGGAGTGAGGCTGGGGCAAGCATGAACACCTTGCTGGGGTCATTTGACCCCAGTACTCTTTTCTGCCATGGCAGGGGGTCGGACTAGATGATCTGCTCAGGTCCCTTCCAACCCTAGAAACTATGAAACTATGAAGCACTGTCCGGCCAGAGTGGGGCAGGTGTGGGATAGAGCTATGGCTCATCTGGGGTGTGCAGGCAGGGGCAGCTCCTGCTGCTGCGCACCGCTCAACTGGGAGCCGCTGGTCCAGTGGCTCCTGCTGCTCCCACTACTTGTCCAGGAGGGCATAGAGGGGCTGTGTGCCCCTGGATCTGTGTGGGGTGGGGCGGCGGGCTGGCCCAGCCCAGCCCAGCCCATCCCGTGCAGATCTGGGGGCACATGCCCCCCACCCCATGCCCTCCTGTATGAGCAGCAGGAGCCACCAGACAAGTAAGCAAGTTCCAGAATAGTGGCTCCTGGATGAGCGGCACACAGTGGTAGGAGCTGCCACCCCCTCCCCATGCCCCTCAGATGAGCTGTGGCTCCATCCTGTGTTCTCTCCACCCTGGCTGGGCAGCACTTGCCCCAGCCCCTGCCCCAGCCCCACTCCTCCCTCACTGTGGGGACCTTGATCTGCCCCCCAATACCCCTTTCCTCCCCCCTCCCTTTCCACCACACCGGACTTACCGGCTGCACGCAGCTCTCCAAGCTGCAGGGCTGTGCTCCTCATTGCACTGTGGCTGTGCACACACATGGCCATTTATCGGCTAAATCAGGTAGATTTCCAGTCCAATCAATTTGCTTTATATCGGTGCTGATCTGATACTGAACTAATGCATTGGTGCATCTCTACAAAGGATCTGATCAAATGCCCCAATAAATAGGAAATTCCCACAGACTACATTAAGGATTAGATAAAAACTTCTGAAAAATCTGGCCTCAAAGATCTTAGGCATCTGCTGATGCAGACAAGTACTTAGCAGGTTTTTCAAAGAGTGCTGAGGTAGTCTAGGTGGCCTAACACTGGCTCAAGGTAAAGTAAGCACTTAACCTTAATAGGCCCTTAGTCATTTCTTCAGGTATCAAGATACCTTTATAAATCTGGTCCTACATGTTTAGAATTGCAAACAGTACTATTACAGTACCACATTTTTACAAGTGTGGAGGTAATATACTTCTGATATACCTGGTCATGTGATTCTATTCGGAGCACATGTTGCACTGATATCCTCAAACACATGGTAAAAACCATGGACAGCAAGTTTTAAGTTTGTTATTTAAACTTCGTTTGAAAAAGGAAAAGGAGATTAAATGTGTCCAAGTATTTTTATATTTGCAAAAATACTGTAAAACAGGGGTTTTCAAACTTCCTTAAGTCACAGAATCCTTTCACATTACTTCTCCTGCTGTAGTACTCCTGCCTCTGGCCCCATGGGCCATGTGAGCTGAAATGGAGTCAGGCAACCCAGACTGGCAGTGGTAGTGTGCTGCCTCCTGGCCCACTTCGCCATTACCCCCAGTCTCTTTGAGGAACCCCTGATGACCTATTCTGGAACCCGAGGGTTAGAATAAAAACATGGCATGGTACAGTAAAATAGCCAGCATATCAGACTGTATACCTCTTTCACCTTTAACTTTATTGCAATACTGACCTCATCAAACTCATCAGCAAATCCAGCTCTGCTTGAAATAGCTTCTGAGATTTCCTGTGCCACATCTTGCTGTTCAGTGATGTCTTGCATCAAATTATCAATTTTCTCTAGGTCCCTGGAAAAAATATTTTAATCCATTTTTAAAATGAGCATCCTTAGACCCAGTCTCTGTTATGATAACACAACCCTAAAGTTTAATCCTTCATTATCAAGGACACAATCCAAAGAAGTTCCAGCCTAAGACATCAACACAACAAAATACTACAGGCATAGTTTATAACATGCATATAGTTAAAAAAAAAAAAACAACATTTCAGATGCTGATGCACTCCAGAGACTATAGTAAAAGAGATGTAAGAACCTAAATGCTGTATTTAATTGAATACAAGTCAAGGTTCCCTCCCCTCCCCTTCACCCAACCAGCACAGGGAAGAAAGTTCCTTTTTGTTACCAGGAAAACTCATTAAATACACTGTCTATCATTAAACTGCTGCCAGAAGCAGCATGTGCTCAGTAATCAACACCAACTACAAAGCTGATTAAATACAGCCAACACTAAGCATGACTATAAAGTACATGGCCCATATTGGTAAAACATACTGATGGGAACCTTTTATGTGGGTGTCTGAGTGGCCCTTAAAAAAGGGGGGGGAGGGGGAGTTATTCCCACAGGAGAGAACAAACATTATGCCTGGAGGTACTGAAATACCAGGCTGGCACAAGCTCTGACACTCTCCCCATGTGCCAAAATGCTGATAAGAACCTACCACTTTTTTTTTTTTTTTTTTTTTTTTAATATTTCATGCCACAGGCCAAATCCGTTCCAAATTCTCTCAGCTAAGCAGAGCTCAATCATTCAAGTCTGTGTAGCACTACCACTTACCTCTCAGACTCTTCAGCCTGGGACTTCAGATACTCCCAAATCTATGGCAGGCATCCCATGAGGAAGCCTCAAGCTTGGATGCCCTGGAATTCAGATACCCTCTTGTCTTGCCTGCCCCAACCAAAAGGCTGAAGGAGTGAGCTAGAGAGCAAGCCCAAGAGCAATCCTCCACACCATAAATGGCATAGCCGAGATCCTCTTATTTTGAGGCATTTGTAGATTCTTGCAGGGGTCACCCTGCCCATAGTGCATGTGCCTTAATCCTCTAACTATATGAAATCATTCAAGGCCAAGAAGAAGGGTATCTTCCCTGCCAGATAAGTAAAATCACCTGTGTCAAAAGCCACCCCCTGCTAGAGAAGTTAGTGCAGTCCATCCGAATAAGATAAGTAGTATTCCCCATTGTGCTCAGTCCCCCTCAGTGCACTCTTTTCCAAGTCATGGTGAGCCACTACACCACATATATTTCAGCTTCCTCTTCCCACAGCTTAGCTGCACCTTTCTTCCCATTTCCAATGATACCATTGCTTTATCTACCTTAAATGTCTGGCAAACATCACCAAATGAAGCCCAAAATAGTTCACCTGGAATCCCTCTGTCACCCCCCTCTCAGCTTCTCACGTATGATTAGTGTGGCCCCACCCTCCATGACATGGCATCAGACCAAGTTGCCCTGCACCTCATCTGCATATAAAAATTCTGGAGTATCCCAGGACTTACGACAAGAATCCCTAGTTCCAGTCATGAATGTGGGGATAATTAGTGCATGGATCCTTTTTGGGGGGGGGGGGGGGGGGGTATTTTGGGGGCACCCCCACAAACGGGGGGGGTCGTGGGGGGGGATTTAGTT